GCTCATTTCTTGTGCTATCTGGCCTATTTAGACCCGGCGCATGGGCTCTGAAGAATATTCTGAAGAACAGCGCCTCGAAGTAAGCGAATTAGGCAAGTTCGGACATCAGATATACAATTCCTGACGCGAGTACCATGGTGCTGAGAAAGAGTCCTTCCGTTGGAGGATCAAGAAAGTCACATGGCCCTAGAAATACCCAACAAGCAATCCCGAAACGGCCACGCGAATGGGGAGTCATCGATGCGGAATGTCATATATCGCCAATCGCTACTGCCAGCTCTGACTCTGCTTGTGAATGTGTTGGTGGTCCGGTGAATAGGAACGATCTCTTGGCGGTTTCCTCCTCAAGAACAGTGTTGACACAAGGAGTTTGCAGATACGGATCCCAACCCTTAAAATTCATTCGAAATTCATTCACTCAAACGGACTGACCTGCCCAGCCATTAGTCATTAAGTCGCGTGCCCTAAGATTGAGGGCCATCCATGGATAGCGAAGTTTGTCTCGTTATTGAATATCGCACCCCCCCAAAAGCTAAAGTAATCGTGACCGTGTTCTTTGTCGCAAACTCGTCTCGAGTATTGTCAATGACACTATTCACCTTGTTTGTCATCAGCTCAGCAGAAAAGGAAAGGAACACAAGAGAGTAATAACGGCACATGAACGTGAAAGAATAAACAACTAACCTTGATGGCTCTTACTGTGAAAACAAGCTCCGATGATGAGGACCGACTGCCATCAAGGTGCACGCTTCTCGCTCGACCGGACTTACTCGCCTTATACTTATACCATCCGGTTTCTTGCACAGTTCAGCGACAAACGTACCCAGCAGTATTAATTCGAGACCGAAGTAAAGGTACTATCATTACTTAATAACCGTCTCCCATAATAAACTTTGTCGAGGTCAAAGAAGCTGTTGAATATCACCATCACCGCCAAGATGAACGCAGTCCCGGCCGACATCGTACTCATCATTGCTGAGCGCCTGGATGTCAAGTCGATGTTGAAGCTCAAGGAGGCAAACAGGGTAAGTCCATCCCGGCTGTCTCGGTCGGCTCCTGTTTTATTCGAGGAGTGCCGAGTTAACTAAACGTTAATAGCGACTGTACGCCGTCATTTCAGAATATGAGCGCTCTATCTCGGCAGCCCGCATAGCGAGTTTTACTACTATGCCACCCGGCGCGATACTCTCGTCGGAGATCTTTCTGCGTCGCCGTCTACCGAACAGTAGCTTCAAGATGGCATTAGAGCTCGAGAAGCGCGAGTTGCGCGTCCACGACATCCTCAAGGATCCTATGTATATTGGTCTCGCATTCCCGCCATCTCTCGGCGGATTAACCAATGCAGAGCAAGACCATCTACACACCCTCCTTAAACGCGCAATGTCACAGTGCGATGATATCGCCGACATCGCAGCTAATATCCCCCAACTTCTTATTACCTCTCGATATTACGGTAATCCGAACCTCGCTACCACGTCACAAGAGAATGGGGTCAGTTGGCGACATGACGACCCCTACACCAATTACTTTGCTCGGTCTTTCCAGCGTGCCTACATCCGCCATCTACCGACACAAGACATTACGATGTTGTATTATTTGGTCAGTATAATGGGGGAAGGCTTCGGGGATGACTACGGAAGCTTGAACCACGGAAGCTCGAGCTCGTCGGATGCCGTACTTGGGGAGCGTGTTGTCATTTTCGAGGAGGCTCTGCTTCGGCATGGGTCGTGGTTCGCATGGGCACACATTTTCGGGGACATGGCGTGGTCTGAGATGGCCAATCACATCATGGAAGTCGGCCTGTCTGAGCTTAGGAGTTACGAGTCAGGACAAGTTGGGGTCAGGTCCAGCCTCAAGTCAACGATAGTCTGTCGATGCAAGGAACTGTATCAATGCGGGGATGATGTCGAGCTGGTAATACATGAGACCGTCAGGCGCTTGATTAAAGGAGATGACAGCGACGAATAGACGCAGGTTAGCTCGCCCTAGAGACGCTTGAGGTCAGGCACCAACTTTGTTCAAGGTTGGCGCATTAGAGAATCGGCGGATATAGATTCGTACATAGTGTGGTACGAAATGCGTTACATCTCGTCGCCAGATTTCGCTTAGACGCCATGAGGATGTCAAGTTATTCGTGTCAGTGAAGGTATGTCCGCAAAAGTGAATGAAATCTCATCGGCACACCATGTTACTCGTAAAGGTCGGAATTTGGCTTGAACATTACTCAGATCATTTTACATCACCGCAATGGAGTAGTACTTTGTATCAATATATTTGCAGTAACGACAGGATGGCCCATCGGAATAGTACCTAAATTAGAAGATATCCGCTAAAAACATGATATTCATCGAACAGCATCATGAATATGCACGTATGCAACTACCGTACTGCACACCGCCTTGACTTTCTGGAGCGATCCTTGGCATCCATGATTGGAATTGACTTGTCATACGCAGCTTTCGCAGCTTTCGAGAATGAAACCCCAGTGTGATGAGACTGGTGAGATGAGGTAACTAGAATGGCGCAAAGAGGAAGCCCAAAACGAAGAGTTTTAAAGTATTGGACTCGTCCATTGATCCTCGGACCACTACGAATCGGACATGAGTCACCCGGCGGAACGGGGACCACCTCCAATTACTAACTATCAAAGCAGTTTCGGCGTATCAATAGTTTCCCCTCCTTTCAACTTGTAGGATGCTAACTCACTCTTGCTAACTCCGTCTTTGATAGTGCAAGACGCGTCAATTTAGCTTCCTACGCAGCTGAGAAATCCAATCCGATCTTGTAAGGCGTGTCAGACATGGATTGCTGTATTTAGGATATCAATTGATACAGACTAGACTAGAAGCATCACTTGCTGCCTATAACTTTAGGAATTGAACGCGTCGACGCGAGAGTATGACCGATGGCCGTACGCCTTACGTACCCTACGCCTTATGCCTTACGCCTTATGGCCCCCATCCAATTCCAGGGTCTGGATGTGGGTGACCGCTAGTCACCAACTTCATCATTGCGCCATCTGCGTACGAGTCACATACCTATAATTGCATATTTTACGTGCGTACTGTCGCTTACCCCCCTTGAATGGCGGATTGAGGCGGCCTTGCCAAGCATCACTAAATGGACGCTTTTTGCTACTCGGGTGGGAATAGCCCATTCGCACAGCCCTGCAATAGTCTACGTTATCAACCTGGGTAGGTAGCCGGAGCAGTATGACCTGTGTCATCGGTCCACGTCTTGTGTGCGTCAAACTGCATGTTAGTCATACGTCTTGTGTATAAAGTAGGTGCCTTTCTTCTCGGGCTGTGATATATGACGTTCCAGCTATATCACCTTTACTACATCAGATACCATAAGTAAGGTATCCTTCAACCATCTGGTACTCAGTTCCATAAAACATTCAGTTTGACTGTCTCATTGCCATACCTACCACACTTCCACGCTGCAAATCTACAAGTCCAAAGAGAACCCAAAACGACGTACCATCACAATGTGTCGAGACTGCTACCATACCACGGCCGCGTCCTTCTCACCTTCTTTGGCGATGACCAACCCAGAGCTCATCTGGTCCCATCACCAAGAACAGAAGCAGCGAGCCGGCCTCTACTCATCGTCGAAAGCCCATTCACAACCCCAATCCTCGTCTGCCTCAACCTACTCAGAGTCTACTACCTATTCGTACGATAAAGAGAAGAGCCACAGCGACACCAAACAGAAGCGGTCGATGCGCCAACGAGTAAAGGACGCCTTCAAAGACATGGGCAGCCCACCCAGATCTTACGATGACCGAGTGAACGGTCGACAGACAGAAGACCAGAAGGTTGACCATGGCCCCATGAGCTCAAGCCCCCTGAGTAGGACGTGAGATGGACAGAAGGAAGAATATCCATGGATATGATAATTCTAACTTCGGTACAATGGTCTGGCTATCTAGCTTGGGCCTATAGGTCCAAGTCTTTCCATAGTATATTAGGGGTATAGTCATGCTACGGTAGCCTACTCGCCTGCCAGGGGCTCTCAAGGAAGGGTATGAGGATGGAGGCACATTGGCGGCATATTTTCATGACACTAGCGTTTGATTAGATGGATACCATATTTACGTACGTATGTTCGGATTGATGCGAAGGAATCCTCAATAGGGACGAGATTATCATTGCTGTACTAGATTGGGGGGAACAGGGACTTCTCTATTACTTAATGACACTTAATCCTAATTCCAGTCCAATTTCCTGAATTGCATAGTGGAATAGATGCTGTGCTGGCTGCTATGTATAACAATTGAAATATGTCGGGAAGCGTAAGTACATATGTAGTTATCACCATCATCTTGAATAGGAGCAAACCTATAATGGTGTAGAAATATGCGACATACCTCAGACCTCATCAAAGAGTTCATACCGTATGATTCCTACGATATCGTGTATAATACTATATAAGTTCAGCGCCGTTAGTCTCTTCGAATTACTTTTTGGGCGTTACTACTCTGATATCATATATCGCTCCCCTGTCTGGCCCCTATTGAGGAATTGTCTAATGACGGTAGGTAGTGGAGCTAATGTATGGAGAAGGCATCGACTGCTTAGAGCTATTGGCGAACGAGTGTCTACTCAACACCGGATTGCCTATACTGGACGGGAGCATGCGTGTAGTATCGTCAATGCGACTTGTGGGAACTTCATAGAACGAAGAATAAGTACTTTGATAAAGAATGGACATCAAACTCCCATAGCATTGAGAGTCGTTCTCTCTGTATGTACATATTAATCGCTTCAATCATCAAATTATCAGATACACAGATGCAATGCACCTAAAGCAGTAGCGCGTTGCACATTTTAGCACAACCCCTACTTCTTTTCAAAAAAATGAATGCTATCGGTTGGTTCGCATACAAAGGAATTGGAAAGCGACAAGCAAAAAGGCAACCACATTAAAAGATAGATATGTAATGATCAATAGGATAAAAAAAGGAACTTTTGGTCCAAAGACGCAAAAAGTGAAGATCCCTCGGGCCGGAATCGAACCAGCGACATTTCGGTAACAATTAGATTTCTCCATTACAGCCGAACGCCATAACCAACTAGACCACCAAGGGGCGGGAAGGTTTCAGTCTTGCTCTTGTGAGAGGAAGTGGACTTCCTGCGAGGGGAAGGTGTCAGTCCGCTCAATATTGCCCACTATATACCTACCGCGCTAGCGTAGGTGGGGAATTCCCGAGCGCCACCCCTTATGCACTGTACGAAGGTACTTCCATCAATTGAATCCACCAGTTGACGTTCTACTACCTCACACAACATTGAACTTTTTCCCGCGTATCTCGTATATTGACCTATCTCTTGGGTTATGCTATCATTGAGAAGCAACTTGCTACAGAAACTCTCGGATTACGCTGTGCTATGAGTGAAGCGGCATAATTAGCGCGATGGTGCGGCCAAGAGGTTTGGAACCCGTCATATTCTCATGGTATTAATAGCTAAATTTCATCCTAGGTCCCCTACGAGGATGGTACGAGTGAGTTGACATACACCTCAATATTCGCATACCCGGAGCTATTGATCTTCATCGCGTCACTTGCATCGCGGGAGTTTAGCCCATGCGCATCTTCCCACGCATCCGGAATCCCATCGCCATCCGTGTCCACCGGCGCCTTCGCACCCCCACCATCACCCATGAGGCCAGTGTTCTCTTGGCTGATCAATGCCCCCTTTTTACCCCAGCTCCTAACCTCCGCCACGAGACTTTTGTCGACTTCATCGCGCGCAGGGAAATTAGCGCCGACTTTATCTAGGACGTACGTTACGGCATCGGGGGCTGTCATTAGACGGCCTGGCCCCGGGTAATCGAACCGCGTCTTCTGGATATCCATGTCGCTGTAACAAGAGGCCTGAACGCAGAGGGGAGTTCCGTTGAGAGTGCCGTCCTTGTTGCTATCGTAGTAGTTATCCGATACGTCTTTTACGGTAAGTCCCTCCCTAGACGGATGATATAAGAATGGTACACTTACAGCCGTGGAAGTTGGCGTTTCCTCGCGTAAATGCGGTCACGCTCGAACTAGGTCCAGAGATGAAGTAATTGTTGATGATGTTAGCATTACTTTGGCCCGCACTGTCACCAGCGATATAAGCACCGCCGCCTCCCCAGTTGTAAATGACCTTACGGGCTGTTAGTAACTTACACGCCAATGGACTATCAAAATGGACTATCAACCACATCACCGGAGGTGCTCACATTGTTCTGGAAATCGTTCATGCCCTTGACCTTAGGATTTCTCGTCTTATTGTCGATGTACAAGTTCCTGAAAAGACTAATACCATAATCCGACTGCATCAACCCACCACATGAGTGAGTTTCCAGCCCCTGCCCAATAATTGTGTTTTGTATCGTCACATTATGCACGGCACCGTTGATGGAGAATGTTTCGTCTCTGCCCCAAGTCGTGGAGACATGGTCGAAAATCATATTGCTGCCCTCAGCAATCGTGACGCCGTCTATAGCATATTAGTACGTGAACTGAATCCTCACCGCCATGAGAGCGAGTGGATACCTTTGCCTGAGTCGCCGCCTTTACCCATACGAAATCGAATGTAGCGTATGATGGCTTCATTGGCGTTGGAGAACGACAAACCATTGCCGTAGATCGTAATTCCCTTATGAATGAGACTATTAGACTCCACGTCAAAATGCGCGAGACAAGTCTCACATAGGCATACCATACGCTAAGGACCGCTTACATTGCCTGGAGCTGTCTGTCCAGCGATATAGATGTTCTTGGAGACGGCAACTCGGCTGGTGATTTTGACAGTCCCGCTAACATCGAAGACGACGATGCGATTCGACTTCGACACAGCATCCCGGAAAGATCCCGCTCCGGAGTCGCTAGCTTTCTTTTTAAAATCAAGTTGTGTAGTTGTCTGTGGCCATACTTACTTCAGGTTCGTTACGTGATAAACCGTTCCTGTCCTGCCACCAGCGGCGTTTCGACCGAAACCTTCAGCTCCGTGAAACGCAAGAAGTCCCGAGACACTCGGGATGACCGTTGCCAGGCAGGCTGCAGCCGAAAACTTCATGGCGTTGAGTTTATGGAGAAAGGTGCAGTTCGAAAGTCAAGACGTCTGAGGAATTACTGCGACGAAGAAGAATACGGAGGTATATAGATTCATCTGTTTATGTAGCTACTTAACCCGACGCACCGAGGCATCACTCATGTCGCTCGTAATTTTTCCGTCTCATCTTAAACAGAGGCGGGGATTAGCGCCCTACCATGGGACGTTGGAGACGGCGCCGATGTCAAGATTGGGTTGAATGACCGGGTTCAATCACATATATCCAACAGAGCCAGGGGTCCGCATACTCTAGCCTAAACTTGTACGGTACTTACACACGATGTTAAAATAACACGACACATTATACTCTCCGATATACCCCATGTCTTTACCCCTTTTCCAACTGCCCTATGTGTGTTTTCCTTCTCCGTTTTACTACTACACTTAATCTATGGTAGTATTAACAACTTTACTCAATAATACTAGCAATACAGGCTATTAATAGCCAGAGATTTACTTGAGCAAACCTGAAAGACGTAGTTTTGATAATATTATAAGCATCCCAAGAATACATGTATATACCTACATGTGGGTAGCAAGACAACTCGCCGAATCGTAGAATAGAATAACCCGCTAATTATGTAAATATTACGGTTTCTAGTTTCTGAAATTGCGACTATAGACTCTTTCTAATTGTGTCTTTGAAGACTCATTATTTCTTATTGGTGTTTCTATAGAACCTCGTTCCGAGAGCATTCGCCTACCACTACATACACGATGAACCAATTTTATGAACTTAGAATAAGCGCTCATTCTCGTATTAATCAGAATATGGATTAATTAGATATTTCTAAGAAGATATTATGTTCGTATACACTCTGGTATGTAACATAATTGCAAGTTAAGAGTTAGCTGGTGAACACTTATGAGTAAGTCCTGCATTGGATTGACAGGAGCTGAAAGAAAGGGAACAGAAGTATTGTTGAAGCATAGCTCATCTTACGATCATTGTCTAGGCTGAGTTTCCTAGGGCTCTTATGACCGGATTGGGCAACGAAACCCTTTGTTCTACGGTCTCTATAATACTTCCTCTTTGTTATTGGAGAGATTCATAGGGAATCGAAGTCTTACATTGGGGTAACTATGATATCGTCGTAATAACATGCGATATACTATACATCTATACAACTTATAATTACGGTTCCCTATTAGAGCAGATATCTATCGTAGCATTTGAATTTCGGCGTTACGGTTTGGGCAAAGACTCCTTTTATCTATACCGATGAATCCGTCAGATCGAGAAGGGATCGTCAAGGAAATAGTTGAGCATGAGGCACGAAATATAAAATTCGAGCGCTATCTTGGTAAGGGGGAGAAAGGTACGGCGTGGCTGTTTAAAAATATCTATGAGAATGGTGAAGTAAAGGAGAGGTTTGTGGTTAAGAGCGCCAACCATGACCGACACATTGCCAGTATAGAAGAGGAAATACGTATAGCCAATGTTAGATGAATACCTACGCTCTATAGGGGCGTATATAAAACTAATGTGTTGGCGTAGGCATTATACGGTGCTATGCACTGTGCGCAACCCGTTGTAAGGGGAGGCAGGATATGGGAACCGCGGACTCTGGCCGGCGCTCCGTCTTGGGCCAAAGTCTTCTTAATTTCTGAATATGTTCCTCATAGATCATTAGACGATTTTGTATTTGAAACGTGGGTTGGAAATATCACAATTCCTAACCGAGTACTTTGGATGATTGCTCGATGCCGTACGTCAAGTCCCTAATCTTCAAATACGTTTGTTTCTTGAAACTTACAAGTATCAAACAGTATCTAGAATGGCCTTAGGCATGGCCAATCCACCGAGAAGGAAAATGGGACAGACTACGGTTCCTCCAGCCTTAGAACCAAGCAGCGGAGCCGGTGCATACGAAATATATCACGGCGATATGTCCAATCTTCAGAATCGTAAGTTTTAAGAATATAGCAGTGTTAGCACATCTTTCTAATACCCGACATAGTAATATTTGGAGATTTTGACACGGATGAACATATACTAGTACCTGCATTAAAGCTCATAGATTTTGGTGCAGCCATAGATGACTTTTCAAAATTAGCGTAGGTGATCTTACCCCTATAGTTCAACGCATACTAACGTGTTAGGACGCATATGAACGGACAAAATATAGAAGCGAATAGCCTTTCCAGCGCAAACATATTCGAGATAGGCCAGGTATTTTGAAAATTCATTAGAGCTGACCGAGCCCCAGGGTCAAGGGCGGTGTTCACAAGCTGACTTACGGTTAATCTAGGTGATGCGACAACTTTACGGCTTCATAAATACCCCAAATATAGGATTCCTTCGTCCTAACTTAGACATGGATTTTCATAATCTAGCTAGTAGATGTGCGTCCGAACAACCAAACGAACGTCCTTCCGTCACTGCGTTCTTCGATCAAGTCAATAACGCGGTAAGGACAAAAAAGGGGCCGGAGCACTTTGCAGGGAAGTCAGAGGCAAAGAACGAAACGGACGAGTATATTAAACAGTTCGTACAGAATAATATTCTCAGGCAGGGCTCATGAAGGTGTCCATCCCCCAACTGGATATGATTATATGGGACGTCGTGCTACGTGATGGCGACGTTCTATCCGTCGGCTGTATAGCCACGAGTATTAGATTTGGATAGTTAAATTCAATTATTTAGATATAATCCCGCTTTCCATATAAGCAAGATTTTATTATGATGACTCTGGTTAAGCACGTAGATACTCCCCAGTTACGACTTCCCTATCATATCAATACCACTCATGAAATCCACAAGGCATAAAACCACTAACCAGGAAGATCCGAATCAGTTTATAAAGCTTTATTACTGTAGTGAGTTAGCAACGGAGTGAATAAATGAACATCTGTAGATACCTACCTAGCTAGGTACCTTTAGGTTATGATTAGGGCTACTGGAGATCCTCTGACCCTGATTGGCGACCCCTGGTCGTGGCAAGTCGATCGCATCTAACGCCGTTTGGCTTGTGCGTTCGATTCCGTCAGC